TTTCATCAAGTAATTCAGAAGTTTGTTAAAAGGATAGAAATGGAGAAGACTAATATTTATGGCTCCTAGTCTTAAAAAAATTAGAATGCTGCTTTTAAAATAAAAGAACAGATCAGAAATGAAAACTTAATACTGTATTCTACACTGAAGCCTGAATGCCAGTCTGCTAAGGGCACAGCTAGCCATGGGGTGGGCTCGCCTCCAGTGGAGGCACCTGAGCCCCTGGGGCCACATCCCTCAGGTGAGGAAAATGCTCCTGAGCAAAAGAAAAGCTTAATACAGTGTGTGCTTCCCCAGCTCAAGGGATGACAGGCAGGTGGGGACATGAAGTGTAGAGGCAGGTGACCCTACTAGTCAGGACTTGTTGCCTAACATTTCTCAGACAAAGAAGTAGAAGTTTTTTTAAAAAGAAGCAAAAATAGCAAATAAACATATGAAAAATGTTCAGCGTTACTGGTCATTAGAGAGATGCACATGAAAACAAAGATTCCACCTCAGTTCAGAAAGAATGGCTGCTATCAAGGAATCAACCAACAACAAATCCTGGTGGTGCTGTAGGAGAAAGGAACCCTTCCTCATTGTAGGTGGGATGCAGACTGGTGCAACCACTGTGGAAATCAATATGGAGATACCTCAAACAACTAGGATTGGAAGTCCCATTTGACCCAGCCATCCCTCTGCTGGGTATCTTCTCAAAAGAATTAAAAGAATCATACCACAGTGATATATGCTCACCCATGTTTATAGAGACACAGTTTGTAAGAGCCAAAACTTGGAAACAGCCCAACTGACCATCAACTGGAGACTGGATGAAGAAGATGTGGGTTTTTTTGTTGTTCTTTTTTGGTTTTTTTAAATATAAAATGGAGTACTACTCAGCCATAAAGACCAAGAAACTAGAGACATTTATAGCTGAATGGAAGCACATTGAGGCCATACTCTTAAGTGAAATAAATAGGACACACGTGTAAATACCGAATACTTTCTTTCATGTGAAAAACTGAAAGTGTAAATAATGACTAAAAGGTATAATAGACAATGTGAAATAGGAAGAAAAGGTCAAAAGGGGAAGGGGAAGTGGGAGCGGTAGGGGAGAGGAATAAATATAAGGAAAGAGAAAAAAAGTAAACACAGCTTATGAAAGGACACACACGCCAGGAATCCAGAACATGCTCAGCAGCCAGATCTGGGGTGGTTCTGATACTGCTGAGAACTGGTCAGGTTTTTTTTTCTTGTCTGTACCTTTTGTTGTGTTCCTTGAAACTAGGTACACATTAAATTGCTTCCAAATAAACCTAATGCAGTATATCTGTAACACTAGTACCCAAGTCCTTCACCGTCCATTGGCATCAAACACGAGTTTCCAGATTCCACAGTTCTCTCCCAGTGCAGCTCTCCTAGAAGCGCATGCCTCCAGCCTGGCTAGGATGGGGTGATTTTGGGTCAGCCTTGTCCAATCAGCTGCTTCTGGGGATAGGGACAAAGACCAGGGCTGCTTACACAGCAGGAATGATGACTAGGGAGCACCACAGACCTGTGTGATTCTTGCAGCTTCACAAAGTCATAGGGGACTCAAACCCTGGGGCAGCCTGGAATTCCAAACCCAGAGGAACACAGAGATGAATACCAGCAGTGGATTCTGGGACAGGGGGACAATGCCGGTACCCAGTGAGGAAAACTGGGGCAAAAGCAGAAGGCTTAATTACAGGAAAAGGAGCGACTGGATTCAGGGCACCAAGTAAGGAGAGTACACAAGACCCAGTAGAACAGACACCTTCTAGGCAATTATGAAGATAGTTTGGCTTTTAATTAATTAGCTCAGAGCTTAATTAGCTAGACCACTGGGGAGCTTGCTTAAAATACAGTTACTAGGGCTCCCTAAGAATCACAGTGATTCCTAACATCTGTGGGCCTAAGCCCAGGGATCTCTATGACATTATAAGAAGGTAACAATGAAGGATGAGGGGGCCACTGGTGGGGAAAATTGTGCCTATTGAATTCTGTTTGCCCTGAGATTAGAATTCTTCTTACTCAAATTGAATCAAATGGAAGTGAGGACAGTCTATGTGAATATACCCTGTGTGATCTGTCCCACCGTTTCCAAGGAGATGCCATGCATGGGCGGAGGCTCACTCCTTGCCTGTACAATGAACCAGATTTCCTGCCCTCTGTTTCCACTCTGACCCCAGCTGCAAGGCCAGGCTGTCCCAGACTCTGGTGCAATCTCCAAAGCCAATCTCAGCCCCACCCTCTCCTCACTGGGGCTGATAATTAGGTGATCCCTTCCAGACCTGTAATCCAGGGCCCAGCCATTCCTGCTCCTAATAGTTCCCTGAAGGTGTCCCAGAGCTAGTGTGCCAAAGATGTGGACTGCAAAATCTCCAAGTGCCAGCGTCTTGCTTGCCCCCCTGTATTGACTAAGGGATGCAGTTTTGCTGCACTCCCCTTACTAGTTTCTTTCTCTTGTTCAGAAACAAGTATTTAGAGAGCACCCACTGTATATCAGGCACTGGGTTACCAATGCCCTCTGATTCCAAGGAATCTTCAATTCTCCACAACACTACTGTATGCCTTTTTAATTTTTTTTCCATTTTTACTTTAAGGGTAATCATTTTTTAAAAAAACTTGGCATTTTGTCATATAATTTAGAGTTCATATTTATATCAGTAAATGCTCATCAAGTAAGGCCAAATGATATCATGTTATAATGAACTATGAAGGATCCAATAAGTTGAGTAGATTTCAGAATTTAGGTATGAAAATGCAAAGGATCCTTATAGCAATCAGAACCATGTTCTCATTGTGCTCTTAGGGCCCATTTGTACCTACCCACTTGTCAAGGTTCATTTCTCATGAATGTAGCAAGTCAATGAACAATGCAGAACATCTCAAGTTCTCATTCTAGCAAGTACACAATTAAACTCTCACTTAATGCAGATTTCCAGCACATGGCAATGCTACCTTCACTTCTGAACAAACAAGACACTCAGAGTTACAACAAACAGAGTTACCAAATAGCATTTCATTAAAATTTTCATCTCAAGAGTCCTCGAGGGAAGAGTTTAAAATTAATTATGAGGTCTTATTATTCTAAACCAGCACACAAAGTTAACAGGCATTTTCTACATTATCACTAAGCCAAAAGGCCAAAAACAAAAAAATGTAGAACTGGATCTGAGAGCACATCTTCCTATTGTTACATTCAACATGACCAATTACTTTTAAGACAACAGCATCCTCTGTCATATAAAACTAATGTTGCTTTCTTGGATAATACTAATTTGCAGTGCTATGGGGGCTTCATTCATATATGAGCTTTGTTTTTATAAATAGCTTGGATTTATTTGATACTTGCTGTATTCCAGGCACTGTAATAATCATTTTTCATGGATTAGCTACTTAATCTGCACAACTACTCTAAGCACTCTTAGAGTACTCTATGCCTACTGTAAGTAGTCTTAACCTGCCTATTACTAATGAGTAAACTGAAACACAGAGTAATTACCTGGCCTGAGGTTACACATCAAGTGAGCAATGGGTCTAGACAGTAACATGGCAAAACTTTTACAGATCAACGGCCCAAACTGCAACCCAAAGCACACTTATTTATCGCAAAGTGCCAACACTGCAGTTAAACTAGAATACGAAGGTTTTAGTTTAAAAAAAACAACTGTTATCTGATGTTCGGCTGCTGGGGCGACTCGGCTCCTGCGCCGTTAGAGAGGGCTCTGTGTGACCACAGCGGCACACATGCCACAGATTCGCTACCACTGGAGGATTTTAACCCAAGAACCTGAGTTCTTAACACAAAACTGTACTGCATTATCACTATATAAGTGTGTGTGTGTGTGTGTGTGTGTGTGTGTATGCACATTTATGTCTATGAAATTATATAAATTCCAAGCAGAAAATTTTATACTGTATAGCTTTGTACTTTCACATATTTATATAGTTACAATATAAGCATTTAATTCAATATTCAACTTGTGCAAATTTCTCTTATAATTTAAAAGAAGAACAAGAGAGGGTGGGAGAAAGTCAGTCTGTGTTCTATTCAAGTGAAAGAAATGTTGCTTTAGTGAGTTCTGCTCCAGATAATGGGAACCAGCCGAAATTCCCGCAGTGACTTGCAGGAGGGAGTTCTGTCACCACCTGAGCTCTGCAGGCCCTCCTGTCCCTCCACGCACATCCGTGTGCCCCTCCACACTAGGGAGGACCTGCTGTGTCGGGACCCCTGAACGCATTCCTATTTAAGGAGCCACTGAACATTCCCAGTGCCTTCATTTTCCATGAAGTATTCTACTAGGCCCCCATCTCTCCGTGTGGAAGGAATCCAGATGACATTGCTGTCCTTGAACCCAGTATATTGCTCTTCCCACCCCACCCCACTCTCTCACAGCTGACACCTCGCCACGGGCTCTCCCCCCAGACAGCTTCCTTCTCTCCCTCTTCCCCACCAGGCACGTGTTGCCAGGGTCCAGATGCTTCTCGTGGGGCTCAGTGAAAGCAGTGTATGTGATTGCACTGCCAAAGTCTCCAGCTCACCAGGCCAGCGTCACAGAAGTAAGTTACACTTCGTAAGCTGTACTTTCAGGGAGTCAATAAGGAAGGAGCCACAAGTGCTGTTCCTCTGGAGGGCCCACATGCTTCAGGCCTCTGTCTTTTGCAATTGCAAAAATGTGAAACATCATTGCAGGTTTAATGAAACTGACTTTTACATGTGAACTGGGAATTATAAAGCTGCAAGGATCATCAGATGAAATACAAGCCTCATCACTTATTTACAAACACAAGTAATTTTACCAGCAGCCACTGCTTCAACACAGAATAATCAAACTTCAGGAACCTTGGCCTTCTTGGTAGTGGGACTATTCAGGTCCAGTTTTCAATTCCTGAGTATAGGAGGTGCTGACAGTAGCAGCCAAGTGCCTTCCTGGTCCTGGGTCACAGCTATTGCATTGTGAGCTCAAAGTCAGTCACTCCTTTGTCAGTCAGTTACCTGCTACCTTCCGGATGGAGGTGAAGGAGGTAACCCCCAGGCAGGCCAATTTGAAAGTGTGCTCCATATATCACTGTGGTATGTATGATTCATTTAATTATTTGGGGAAGATACCCAGCAGGGGAATAGCTGGGTCAAATGGGACCTCTAATCCTAGGTCTTTGAGGTATCTCCATACTGATTTCCACAGTGACTGCACCAGGCTGCACTCCCACCAGCAGTGAAGAAGGGTTCCTTCCTCCCCACACCCCTGCTAGCATTTGTTATTGATTTCTTGATAGCAGCCACTCTTTCTGGAGTGTGGTGGAATCTCAGTGTTTTCATTTGCATCTCTTGAATGACCAGCGATGTTGAACATTTTTTCAAATGTTTATTTGCAGTTTCTACTTCTTTGGGTGGAGGGGTTGAAGGGAGGGCAGGGGAATGGGGGAAAAAATAAGAACCAAGATACATCATGTAAAGGTACAAATTCCCAATGCTGAATGTCATCATATTGTATACCTAAAGTATACCAATAAACTCAATGAATTTTAAAAAAGAAAGTCGCTCCACAGCCCATTCCTGCAGCCTGCTTCTGTAGCCTTGTGTTGATTTGGGCATCAAATTCTATTTCTGGGGCTGGGAGTGTAGCTCAGTGGTAGAGCACTTGCCTAGCATATAAGGCTCTATTTTTTTGTTTTTTTAATCCTATTCTCCTTAAAACACTCAGAAATGTCCTGACAAGAGCTCGGCTCATACTACTACCTTGACTCATGTAACAATACCTGTTAAAGAAAGACTATTTTCAGATATAGTGGTACATGCTTGTAATCCCTGCTTCTTAGGAGGCTGAGGCAGGAAGATCACAAATTCAAGCCCAGCCTGGGCAATTTAGAGGGGCCCTGTCTCAAAATAAAAAATGAAAAGGGTTAGGGATGTAGCTTGGTGTGAAGGCCCTGAGTTCAATTCCCAGTATCAGAAGGAAGGAGGAACTGAGATCTAATGAGGTTAATTAGCCTGCCTGAGGCCCTCCTTAGTAAGTGGCAGAGCTGGGTTCCTACCTGAAACAATCCAGCTCCACAACCCACAGCACAAAGGACACAGTCTTCCTCACTCAGGCTCCTAAAACAAGGAACCACAGACTGGTGGCTTATGAACCACAGACATTCATTTCTCACAGGACCGGAGGCTGGAATTGTGATATCAGGATGACACCACAGTCGGGCTCCGGTGAGGGCCATCTTCCAGGTTACTTCTTATTGTATCCTTATAGTAGGGAAAGGATGAGCACTCTTTGGGTCTCCCTTTTTTAAGGGCACTAATCCCATTCTTGAGGGCTCCACCTTTATAACCTAATCACCTCTTAATCCCATCACATTGTGGGTAAGCATTTCAAAACATGAATTTTGGAGGGACATAAACTTGGCAGCCTTCTCCAGATGCTACTTTAAGAAGCAATAATTAATGATGCCTCACTGGGCTCAGATTATTTTCCTGACCTGATACTATTCCAGTCATGATTCAAATTCTCCAAAAAGTCATATTGGCCTGGCTCCTCTAGTGGCAGTTCTACCATGAATGCATGTAGTGGAGTAGGACAGTTCCCCTAAAAGAAAGTTTATCTGCTATAGTTTGAATCATAAATATTCCCCATAGGCCTAGGCATTAAAGACAGTTCCCAGCTTTGTGCCATTGGGGAGAAGTAGATATTTTAAGAATTGGGGCCTAGAGAGAGGTCTTTGCATCACTGAGGCTGCCCGGCCTCCATTTTGCTTTTGTACCCTGAAGTGAATAGTTTTGCTTCACCCCATGCTCTCCAGCATGATGATCTGCCTCTCCATTGGCCCAACAGCAATAGGGCAAAGGACTGAAACCTCAGAAACTATGAGCCAAAATAAACCTTTCCTCCTTATAAATTGATTATGTCGAGTATTTTTAATTTTTTATTTTTTTAATTTTTAACATTTAAAAAACAAATTTTTTAACCAGGAATTGAACTCAGGACCTTATATTTGCAAGGCAGGCAGCAACACCACTGAGCTATTCCCCAGCCCTGTCAAGTGTTTTTTATAGTAATGAGGAACTAATACAACAGGAAAAGGATGCTGTTTAGACCAAAACAAGCTTCCACTGCAAGTACAAAACTGGTCAGAATCGGCCATTGGTCAAAAGTATCAGGGTGAAATACACAAATGCAAAATGCTCAGACATTCATTTGGAATGTGGAAACTTGCTTGTGTTCAGACATTAAATATCTCATGCAGATCTTGAAGCCACTTGTGAAGCATGAAGACTTATATGAAACATCACAGGCATTGCCTCAAGCAGCCATGGAAGGGAGCCAGACACCCTGGAAGGAAAGGGGAGGGAAGACACCGAGGAGCCTTGGGACTAGACAGACAGCCCAGTGCACTTCCCTTCCCACTCAGTGAGGACTGTGGGGCTTCTGGGTGAAGCCCCTGCAGAGCATAGTGGTTACCACTTCACACACCAACGCACAGCGTCGCCAGAACTAACTAGAGAATCTCCTGGGGCTGAAACTGACAAGGCCTCGCAGGTACCCTGAAACAGCCTGCTCACTGACAAACTTGAAACCTCATGCAAAACTCCCAAATCAGAATATACCTCTGAGAACCTGATGCATTCTTCCCTTTCCTAGAGATTTGTCATTTGATTTCAGGGTTATGTTTCATGGTGCACTTGCTGTGGCTTGAATATGGTTCATGTTGAAGTTGGATTGCCACTGTGGCAGTGTTGGGAGGTAGGGCCTATCACTAATTAAGAGGGGGCCCATTCTCTTGAAGGATAGGCTTATTCTCATAAGAATGGGTCATTATAAATTGAGGTCACCTGAACCTGTTAATCCTCTTACTTGTCACAGCAAGCTGAAGCAGCATGATTTCCTCACCGAAAGACAAGCTATGCAGATGTACATACCATTCCCTCGGATCTCCTAGGTTCCAAAACCATGAGTTGATATAAATTCTGTTCTTTATAAATCATCCTGTTTCAGGTATTGTGTTACAGCAACAGAAAACAGACAAAGGTAGCATTTGAGTGATTCCAATACCTTTTATCTAATGTCTTAAATTTTTATTTACAGAATTTTTCAGATCAAAATTTTAAAATCACTCCCTCTCATATACATATAAATTATATATATATATATATAATTTATACATATATATCATACACCATATATTATTTTATATATAAAATGTCAAGTAAGTCTCTAACTGATTTATTTTATAATCCCTTCTGTAACCCCAGACAAGCACTCTTTGCTTGTTTAACCAAGATTTTTCCCTCATTCGTCATTTCCTTTGATGAAAATTATTCCTTGATTCCTTCCATTACTGTTCCCTGCTTTCTGTCAGAGGTTGATTATATCCCTTTCCCTTTTTCTAGTGCAACCTTCATGTTTTTACTTTTCCCCACAATGCAAGTAATTTCCCAACTATAAATTCATAAAACTTCAAAGGTGAAGATTTCCCTCCACCAGTTATAGTTGATCACTAGCCAAACAGATGCTGATCCTTTATTTATCTGTGTAAAGTCATATCCTGGAAAAAGACAGAAATATAATAATCCCTGGGCATTATTTCCTCTTATAGAATGGGAAGAAAGAACTTCATCAAGATTGATCTTGCCTGATACATCTGGTGATTAATGAGCGGAGATCGAGACTGTTTACCATATCAGCTGAGAGATAAATACGTAGAGGAACGAAATCAGGTGAATATCCTCACCAACAATGGTGACCAGTCATATTTCCCAGAGTCGGAGTCTGGATGTTCAGGGAGAATTCTCTAAAGCTTTCTTTATGTTACTGAACAATTGTTGCATGCAAGACATAATTTACATCAACCATGAGAACAGTTGGGCCTTGCACCAAGACATGATGAGACAAATCACTTGCAAATGATAAATGAGCAGCAGGACCAGTTGCACTGATCTAAACCGGAGACATGGTGTCAGCCGCTCATTAGAAAGCTTCAAGCAGAATCCCTCCATGACCAGATTTCATATCCACAATTGTGCCTGGCCTTGCCACAGCAGAGGCTCAATTCATTTTCTTGAAAGTGCAAATAAGAAGTCGTTCTGAACCCTACATACTGCCTCGAATTTTAGTTACATTCGACCTTGAACCCGGGCACTTCCCTTCTCCACATCTTGACGTGAAAGGGAAACAAGAAAATATTTTTTTCTCTTTTCATGTCAGAATTTTAAAAATAATTTCTTTTACCACCTCTTTGTTAAATGTTTTAATAAATGCAATGTGAGCATTGGATGACATTGGAAGGCAATCTATACTTTAATAAATCACGCTACCAAAACTTCCTTACCAATCCTCCCCCTTTCATTTTTGCAAAGTTAAAGCCAAAATGTATACGTGATCTGTTCTTCTCACTTATAGTGGCAGGTATCTTCTCCAGTTACAGTTTTCATAGTCATAATTTATAACAAAAGCATATGTCACTGTATTCTTGGCTGTGATTCAGTAAATCATTTCCCTATTGTTCATCTAACTTAAAAGAGCCCCTGTCAATCAGCAGAAGACCAAAGAAGCTCTGTTTGCTATTAAGATTAGAATTGGAAGTTAGAAAGAACAATCACTATAAAAGATTGTGTGACTCTCCCAGATGCAAGAGTGAGGTCAGCCCAACAAAGGCATGTGGAAGACCACAGAAAATTCCAGGAGCTGGTGGTCCACCATGGAGCTAGAACTAAGGTACCCACATCGTGTGCAAAAAAAGAAAAAAAAAAACCCAAACAAAAAGTACTCTCCGGGGCAAATTTAACCCATAAGTAGTTATTTCGAATAGTATGCATTTTTCCTGTTAGTGAACTAGTATCTTGATTTTTAACATGAACAGAATTTTTTTTGTGAATAACCTTAATCATTTTTATTCAGTGAAAAAAGAGTAAGTACATAGTTTTAAAAGTCCAAGCATATTATTATCTCAGGTTTTAAAACCTCTACCTCTCATTAAGAAGCAAATGCTCCTGAGTGCATTCTGTATCCTTCCAGCATTTTCCTTTATAAATAGTACACACATGTTTACATGTATATATCTTTTTTCTTGTTTACACAAATGAGAAAACACATTGTTTTGCCCTTGCCATTTTTATTTGACCTCAGATCTCAGATAAATCCAGCTTGGTATATATAACCTACTTCTTTTATTTTTTAAAGAGCTACATAGCTCTCTACTATATGAAAATATTATAATTTGTTCAACCATTTCCATATAGAGACATTTCATAGTTTCTAGAGGGGTTTTTGTTCTTGTTGTTTTATTACAAATACTGTTATGACCATAACACTTTTGATAGATTCGGGCCAACTGGAAGTTTCATATTTCCTGAACAGACTTGATTAAATATATCAAATTATATTCAACAAAATAATTTGTATAGATTCCAAAAAGACAATTGATAATATATGGTATTTCATTCCTGATTTTTTTAAAACTTCAGTGAAGAAAAGAAAAGGTTTTTTATTTTTGTGCTTAATAGTAAGATAATAGAGGCATTGCCATTAGAGTCAGGAAAAAGACAAGGATAGTCACTCTTACCACAGTCGGTTAGCATGCTCTAGAACAACTAGCCAGTGCAAAAGAAAGATTAAAATTGAGCTAAAAGGTAAAATTACCACTATCTGTAGATGATGTATTATACAATTTGAAAAATACACAAGCAAAATCAACAGAAAAACTTATAGGAACAATAAAGGCATGTGGTAAAATGGCTTTCATATACTGCTGGGCACAATGTCTCGGGTGCAGTCTGAACCACCTATCAAAACCCAGTGAACCCAGATCAGAGCAGACCGGTAAGGACTGCCCAGCCGCGTGGGCGCCCCTGCAGTACCCCCCACCCCCGCTCTAGGGCCTCCTGGTGTGCTGGTACCTGGATCCACACTGCAGAGGCAAAGGTGGTCATAAAATAAAGGCCATTGTACTGAGCTCCAGAAGACAGAACGGAAGTGAATAATAAAGGCGCACCAAACCTCCCTAGTCGGTAAGTTGGAGGGATCACCACCTTCCATCAGAACCTGGACTATCTTCAGGGGAAGAGCAGCTGGAACCTGCCATAGAACCTTGCAGAGTTAAACCCTGCAGGAGGTCAGGGAGCTCAACTTGGGCCTTGCAGCCAGAATTCAGCCTGAATCTCAGGGGTCTGCCTTTGGCTTGCTGAGAGTAATTGACTTAGTTTTTCTGCATATTGCTGCCCATATTGTCTATTGTAACAGCAGAGACATATCCTGAAGGTCCTTCAAAAATTTTACTTTCTTTTCCTCTTATTTTTTAATTTTTAATTTTTATTTTAAAAATTTTATTTTTCCCCACTCTTCAAATTCATCCTTTTTTCTTTCTTCTTTTCCCCCCTCTCAATCTCTTGCTCCTCCACATTGTTCTTCTTCTCCCTTTTTGTTCCCATTCCTGCACTAATTCGGATTTCTTCTTTCTTTTTCTTTTTCTCGATTGTCATTAGTATGAAAGGAAGGTGAGTACAATTCACAGCTGCCCTATTACTGTTAAATTGTTCTACTCTTGTCTTTTTTCTTGCACTCTGTCTTTCCCTTTTGTCTTCAACAGTTTCCTGGAGTTTGCATGATCATCCTGCATCCTCTGACTTCACTTGAAACCTTCTCCTATCCTCCTACCTATCGATTCCTCTCCTCCCACCTCCTTCTGAGACCCCATCCTGAAGGGTAAAGTTGCTATATTGCAGAGTTTATTCACTATAAACATATTTCGGGTCCTTGATTTTTATTTGATTCACATGGTTGAAGGTGATAGGTTAATAACCAACACAGATGGTCAATTTCTAAACTGTGCTTGATGCTATTGTGTTGCTGATTGTATCAACGGGGCTAAAGGGTTGTGATTGATTTTATCAGTTGTCCATCCTGATATTATGAAAATGAGAGTGTCTCTGAGTCATTAGAGACTCAAAATCTAAAGAGCAGCTATTACAGGAAGATCAAAGTACTAACCGAGGAATTAAACCAAGGACAGTACCAACAACAAAAACAAAAATGAGAAACCCCATTGAACCCATATCCTCATTCCAGAGATTTGTCTCTCAGATACACTGCCCCATGGGTTCAGAAACACAGGTCCAAGTATGTAGATACAAACATAGGATTTTCATTAGTGTTTTTATAATAACAAAAGGTTGGAAAAAACTGGTATATCTGTGAGCTAGCATATGATATGATTGTAAAATGTTTTTTAAAGAATAACCAAAACAAAAATCACCTCAATGAGTTCCTCCAAGAAAAAAAAATCCTAGAAAGGATGAGAAAAAGCTTTCTTTTTTTTACCATATGCCTTTTATACCACTGTGACTTGCCCTGTGCCCCCAAAACACTTGCCTTAAAATGTGATTTACTTCTCATATCACAGGCAAACTTTTTCTAATAGACAAATTTATTTTCACAAAACCTTTAACCAAATCAAAGCCCTGATTTTTAATTAAAATTGACAGGTGGCCTTTTTTCAGTAAAGTCTTTCCAGTGACATTAAAGAGAGAAAAATAGCACCTTAACTTTTTTTTTTTCTTTTCTCTCCCCACCCCCACAACCCTTTGGGTACCAGGGATTGAATCAGGACCTTACAGTTAAAAGGCAGACATGAATCCCCAAGAGATAAATCCCCAGCTGCTTTGTTTTATTTCTGTCACTGTTGCAGTTAGTTGTTTTAAGCCTGATAGTTTTGAAACAGTACAACTGTGTCTCTACTTGTCATTTAATTTTACAGGTCAATTTCTCAAGACCTGCGTGTTCCAGGCCAGACCAGGAAGAAGCAAAGAAACTCACCCGCTGCCTGTTCTGCCTGTTCTAGCCGGCTCCTCTGGTTATGATGACCATAGTCAGTGGTGATACTGCTCTACTCTGAACCTCCTTCTCCGTGTGTGTTCCTTTCCTCTGCTGTTCACTACAAATACTGGGCAATTCTAGTTGGCAGGAAGATAAAAAGAAATAAAGGTACATGGTGTTAGCAAAAGAAAATTCTACATTTAATGACAATAATATTGAAGTTTAAAATTACCTAGGACTAAATTATCCAGAGAATTTTCCAAAACCCATGCACCAACAGAGGCGAGGTCGCTGTACCTGAAACTCTAGGAAGCACTTCTAGGTGAGGAATTCTCGGTCTGCACACCAAGACATTTTGCTTCACTAGGTCTGGGGTTGGACCTGGGAATCCGTATTTTCAAGACATTCCCTGAGTAATTCTGATAGACCTTGGCATACACAAGTATAAATTATTCAGTTATATCCAAATTGTTGTGACTCTCTTATAAATTTGGATGTAACCCTTTCAGGAGAAAAAAAAAATCCCATGAAAAAAATATTATCATAAATGAATTAAATTAATCCTCAAGGGTGAGTAAATCAATCCCAATAAACACAATGTAGTCACTGCACTAAGTAAAAAAAATTGTCTGGCTAATCAATAATAAGCAAAGAGGACATTTTAAAGCCTGGAGGAGATGTTATAATTCAAATACTAGCCTAGAACTGATAAATATTTTATTTAAAAAATTGATTTTACTTCATTCTACTTGAAAAATGAGTAAAGGGTACTACTGTTTCTACTTGGCAACATCAAGATTTTTCAGTTGACCTGGAAGCCTATGGTGTTGGTCAAACTAATATGAACTTCTCCCTCAAGCTGAAGTGCTAGCCATTTTATGACTAGAAGACACTGGGTCATTTCTCTCCTCCCTGTGCTTGCAAACCACTTCACGTGACTCGGTTCCTGGGCTCTGGCTCTGAAGCACAGTTCTGCAAGCTATCTTTCAGAAACAATGATCCCACACAATGTACCTCTTCTTTAGAAAGGGCCAGATGTGTAGAACTCTGGACCCAGTCCTCCTGCTAAAAACCTTGCAAAAATCTCACTATAAAGTGAGAGAGAGAAAAACAAAAATGGAAGAGTAGGTTTCATTCATCACCTTATAAGACCTCAACAAAAAAGTATCTACTGGTGATAGATGGTTTTATAGTAAACGGTCTTAGGAGTGTGAGTGTGCATGTGTGTGTGTGTGTGTGTGTGTGTGTGTAAGTTCATCCTGAGTTTCTTCCATATCACAAATCAAGTGAGATGTTTTATAAAATAAAAAATCCAATCAAGAAAGCCTTTAGGGAAAAGAAAAAGAGAAAGAGAAAGGAGAGAGAGAGAGCCTTTCTGTTTTGACAAACATGGAGAGATTCAAAACAAACAGGCCCTAGACTGTGAAAATTAGGTATTCTTAATTCTCAAAAATTGCAGGAGTAGCCATCCCAATTTCACTTAAAAATGCACTAGAGAGATTGGAATAGCCACTCTAAGCCAAGATTTTTCTCCTAAAGGAAACAGAAATGTTAAAATATCCCTTCACCCATTTCCCTGACCCATTTCACCGCTGGCGATGCAGGTTGGCTGCCCACTTTTGGCGTCAAGGAGCAGTTGAGAACCTCCCCTGGATTTAACTAGAATGCCACAGAGAGCCTCTAGAGGGCGTTTTGCATAACCGCTGTCTGGCGCTTTGCGTGACCAACGTCAGGCTTCTGAAAGTGGAGGAGCAGGGCGGGGCGGGGGGCGTGAAAATTAAGCTCCAAACCACAAGGTTAAGCCCTTTGAAAACTGCGATTATAGAAACTGCGTCACAGAAGAGAGAAAACTGAAGAACAGGAAGTTTGAAAGCTGTATGCTTTGTTTCAACACCAGAGGAAAGTACAGACCACCACTGCGCAGTAATGTGTCCCGGTAAGGTCCTCAGCCCAGCTCCGTGAGACCTGGCTTCCTGACTGCTGGGCAGCTGTGGTGCCACTCAGCGCAGGTGGCCCGCTGCTTGGAGGCGGGTGGGGGATCGTCTTTAAGGGGTGGGAAGAGTTTCTACACAAAATGTTCAAAGAGCAGCGAGGCAGAGCCTTATCTCAGAGTGGAGCCATGGGAGGAGTGAGGTGGGTGACCACCAGCAGCCTGTGGGTCCATTCACAACCAGCCGGAAAGGGGTTGGGACTGAGGACGATTCCCCAACTGCACAGTGCATGTGAGAGATGACAGCTGGGAGATTACATGCCAATAACAACCTCTCCGTTATTATAACTTAGCTCTCAGCCATCTACTCATGGGTATAGGTGTGTGTTGAGGAGAAAGAGGTAGACATGCATTATGAATGCATGTCTCATATTTTCGTGTTTATAATGCACAGGAATATGTGAATTATAAGATGCATATAAAGAATGCAGGACTCAGAATTTTTATGTGAGAACTATCTGAAAATTCGGGGCAAGAGATGTAGCTCAAAAAGAAAGGAGAATGGAGAAAATTCAAGTCTTTGATTCTATTAAGCAATAAAAATTAATCCATCTTGGTCAATGCAAACTCCTACTCATTCACATATATGAGTTTTTCCAAAAGTTATTAGAAGCAAATATTTAACCTGACCTCCAAGAGATCAATTTTAGATGAGATGACAAAGCACAGCCACATAACGATGGAAGATCAATGTGATGAAGGTGCAGATTAAAATCACAATGTGCTACAGTCAGAAAACACCCCAGGTAGCCAAAGTTATTTCTGCAGTGAAAGTTTTCACAGAAATGGGTCTTTCGCCGAGCTCTAAAAATAATTTAATTAAATGTAGGTGGGAGTGAATGTGGCTGAAGTTCAACTTGAGGAGAAGTAACTACAAAGTTAGAGGCCAGAGCTAGACAGACCATGTGCTAGACAATGGCGATGCCTGCGGGCCACTCTTCAAAGCCCATGGCAATGCATGGGAATGTGCCTGGTGTCACCTGCTCACTCTGTGCCAGGCCCTGTTGCAGACCCATTCATTCACTGCCCTGTAACATCCTCAAAGAAGCCCAAGGAGGCAAATCCACTTTTGCAATCAGGAGAGAAAGAGAAAGGCTTCTAGGGGTTCAGTAACTTATCCAAGGTTTTATGTTGGTAAGTGGTGCAGCTAGGAATCTAACAGAAATCAACTGAGTACAGAGCCTGTACCAAGGACTCCAGCACACTTATATAAATCAGTGAATTGCACAAAGTTTTCAGAGATGGATTCTTGGCCAGTAGTAATGTGCAAAAACGCAGAAGTGCCAGACGGGGATAGGCTGCCTGCCCAACCCGCTTCATTCCTATCTCCTAACCTCCCTGGTCCACACACTCCTGGCCAAAATGCTTGGGACTGTTAGTGGACACTGAAGTAGGCAAAGGGGACATGGAAATGAAGAGCTTATTCTTGACTCTCTTCTAAAGAGGATTTGGAAAGCAAAGATTTTTTAATAAAGGAGAGTATTAAAGATGCTACACTCACAGGGCTCATTTGTTTGTTTTTTGTTTTTGCACTGTGGGAGATTGCAGGGCCTTCACACTGAGCTCCATCACTGAGCCCTTTCTTAACTTTTTATTTCAAGACAGGTTTGCTAAGTTGCAAGCTGGTCTCAAACTTGGTGGTCTTTCTGCTTTAGCCTTCCAGCGTTCTGGGATTGTTACATGCACCACCAAGACCAATTTCCAGTTTTTAAAAGGGGTGTCCGCCAGCCTCAGAATTCCCTGGGGAGTTTGTTAAAAGTGCAGAGCCCTGGGCCAGCAGTAGGATGATTCTTTGAAACATTAAACATTGAATTACACTTCTGGATATTTGCACGAGAGGAGTGAAAGTTGGTACTTGAATAAATATTTGTACACCTATGTCAAAGCAGCATAATCCACAATAACCAAAAGGTGGAAGCCACCCAAGTGTCCGTCAGTGGATAAATGGATAGGCAAAATGTAGTGTATGTCTGTGTACTTGTGTGTGATGTGTATGAGTACTATTCAGCCTTAAAAAGTGATGAACCTAAAAACATTGTGCTAAGAAAACTAGGCCAGTCACAAAAGGACAAACATTGTATAAGTCCAGCTACAAGAGGTCTCTAGGCATATTTATAGAGATAGAAAGAGTAGAAGTTGCCAGAGACTACAGAAAGGAGAGTGGGAGGTATTGTTTAATAGGTGCAGGGTTTCCAGTGGGAAGATGGCTGAAGGTGCTGGTTGCTTAACAATGTGAATGCACTTAATGCCACTGAACTTTATGCTTTAAAATGATTAAAATGCTAAATTTCATATTGTGTATATTTTATCACAATAAAAAATGGAGGGAAATGAATGAACAGTATATTTACTCATTGTCCTGTCAATGGACATTTGTGATATTTCTGGTTGTTTGTTTTTGTTGCTATTGCAAACAGTTCAATTGTAAACACTCTTATGTGTCTCTAGAACATTTATATATGCAGAAGATTCAGTAGAGTATATCTCAAAACTGGAATTGCTTAGCCAGGCATGGTAATTTCAGCCCTCAGGAGTCTAAGGCAGGAGGATCGTGAGTTTGAGGACAGCCTGGACTACACAGTGATTTCCAGACCAGGCTGGACTACACAGAAAGACCTTGTCTCAAAAAAAATGGTGACCTGTATTTGTGATCCAGCACTCTAGAAGATAGACAAATCACAGATTCAAACCCAGCCTGGGCAACTTAATGACTTATCAAGACCCTTTGTCAAAACAAAAATTAAAGTAAAATAAAAAAGTTTTGTGACATAGCTCTGTAAGAAAGCCCTGGGTTCAACCACCAGTACCAAAACAAAATTGTTTAAAAAGAGTTAACTTTTTATGTCAAATTTTTTTCCAAAGTGGTTTTACTATACTACATAATTTACCTCATAAAAATAATAATTTATAAAAGATATTCAACAAATGTTAAATTATAGACAAAAAACAGTGGGTGGAGCTCTCAACTTGTGCAGTCATCTAGAAGGATACTGCACAGAAAAGGAGTCCCTGAGCAGACTATGTTTCAACATTTCACTTTTTTGCTAGGGTCTATTTTAAGACAATTGGCTGTGGATACCTAGTTGTTGACAAACTTCCAGATATGTGAAGCAAGTTCCCTGTATCCTCGTCACCAACTTGTCGCAGCCTGGTGAGACAGAGTATCCCCACGCTACAAGGTGCACAAAGCTAATTTATCACCCATAGCTAGACAGTAAGGTACAATGGACCCCAGGATTCATTGTGAGCAAGCCCCCCAAACCTCAGGACAACTGCCCGGGGTGGCTGGAGTCTTGTCCACATGCGCTCCACCTGTACCACCGCTGAAGGGCCCCAGGGAAGACCCTTCCCTCAGTTTTACACCCCATGGAAAGTGAATCAGTGGGCTAACATGTTGAAGGGCTTCCAGTTTCTAGGAGGACTGGAGCAGAGCCCACTGTTTCAGACAGCCTCTCCTTTCCAGGAGGTTGCACTTACAGCACATTGTAAAGCCATCCTTGAAATCTACAGGTGAGTAAAGGGGGAGAACTGGGTCAGTCCAAGGTTACCGAAGAACTCTCCTGCAGGATGCTGAAAATCTGGAAAGTACCAGGGTGGAGACGCAGAATGAAATGGGGTGCCGACCTGGAAATGGGTGCATAAGGGACCTTGGGAGATTCTTGTTCCTTTCTATGGGAAGTACATCCTCTCTCATTAAATTAGCAACACCAGGGCTGGGGATTTGGCTCAGTGGTTCCAGTGTCTGCCTTGAAAGCGCAAGGGCCCAAATTCAATCTCCGGTACAAAAAAAAAAAAAAACAATAGCAACACCAGAAGAATCCAAATTCACAGAATCACCCTGGAGAAGGGCACTTTGGGAGACCAGGAGACCTTCCTTCAGGTATTAGAAAACCCTTCTTATACAACTGGGACCATCAGAGAGCCACCAGAGGACTTCATAAACTTTGAGTTAGGCCATGTAGCCATGGGAATAGGGGCCTGTAAGGTCCTGGACATATTCAACAATATAGCTTGTCATTCCAGTACTGGAGGTTGGGGAAGTTGGAAAAGATGACAGACAGCTGATCTGCCAATAACAATGCTCAGTCCCTTTTTTCTCCCCTTCATAGCTTCACACTGAGCTACATCCCCAGCCCTTTTTATTTTTCATGTTGAGGCAGGGTCTTGCTAAGTCACTAAGTTGTCCAGGTTGGACTCAAAGTTTCAATATTCCTGCCTCAGCCTCCCAGAGTGCTAGGATTACAGATCTGGGCCACCACATCGAGCTCAGCACTCATTCAACATATATTTTTAATTGGGTTTTCTGTTTATTCTATAATTCACTTTGATCTTGCCATAAACCAGATTAGCCCTTTTCACATAGGTTACAGACCTTGTAATATTGAAAGTGTTGCCAAAGCTTAGGTTTACTATTTTTTTAATTTTTTATTCATTAATTTTATTGGTACACTTTAGGTATATAATATGCTAACATTCATTACTGGGAATTTGTACCTTTGCATAATATATTTTGGTTCTTATTTTTTTTCCCCATTCCCCTGACCTCCCTTCAACCCCTCCACCCCTCCCTATTTACAAAGACATTGTTTACATTTTTTCCTTTTCTCATATTTATTCCTTTCCCCTACCTCTCCCACTTCCCCTTCCCCTTTGGACCTTTTCTTCCTATTTCTCATCATTTATTATACATTTTGATCTTTATTTACACTTTCAGTTTCTCACACCAGAGAAACTATTCAGTATTTACACATGTGTGTCCTATTTATTTCACTTGAGTATGGCCTCAATGTGCATCCCTTTAGCTATAAATGTCTCTAATTTCTTATTTTTTTTTCAGCTTTAATTGAGTTTATT